TCCTGGTGAACCTCATGAAAGACAATCCAGCCGTCCCCTGAATACAAACTGTTCCCCCTGCCCCCTCTCCTTGGGGCACTGGAATAGGGCCCCTTTCACAGGCGCGAATGACATCACCAGTCCGAAAAACAGCTGCTTTATTTTCCCTTTCTTTATACAACTAATTACTGTTTTCACATAATTTGCTCAAGTGTTTATGTATTTTCCTAACTGAGTTATTTCAGAAAGTTCTTTCTTTCTTAGGATGCTGTCTTCACATCCCTTTATTGATTTATTTATTGATTTATTGATTTATTTAGAGAATAGTTTCTTGGTATTTTAGAGCAGGGGTGGGGAACATCCACCCGAGGGCCATATGCGGCCCCTCAAAATCATTTGGTCTGGCCCTGCCAAGGCAACCGCAGGCGGGACTCGAAATTCAATAAATCTAGAAGATTTTTTTCATAGCTGATTTTTAAGTTGATAATTTTATATTGCCCACAAACGATGTTATAAATATCCAAATGGCCCTTGGCAGGAAAAAGGCTCCCCAGTCCTGTTTTGGAGCGAGAGGGAGAAGACGGAAACATCGATGCGAGGCAGGCTGCCTCCTGCGCGCCGCGGGGCTGAGCCTGCAGGCCGGCCGCGTGCCCTCCCAGGCCATCGGGGCGCGAACCGGCAACCTCTCGGTGCGCAGGACGGCCGCCAACCAGCTGAGCCACACGGGCCGGGGCTCACACCCCCACTGTTAGGTAAAGAGACCCAGGGGGAGTCTCCGTGGGGAGACCAGACACCTGGTGTGCCTGAGACCGTCCTGGTTGGTGACTGTGGGTCTGCTGTGATGCTGGAGCACCCCTTTCACTCTCAGATAATAACCAGAACCCACCTGAGTGACGGGCAGCAAGGGTGGCCTCCAGGCCACCGCTCCTTTTATTCTGCACTGATGAAGCAAAGACATAGAGGGACAGAGGGAGGTCACACGCACACACACACGAGACAATGAATTCACGTGGGTCTCTGTTCAAGGGAATTCTGCCTGAGTCCTTCTGTAAGGAATCTTCTTTGAAGCAAATTATGCTTCCCCGTGTCCCAACAATGAGTCATTTCACACTGCATGAATTTTATACTATGGCTCTGACTTAAAATACGGCACTCATTTAACTGAGAAAAGCAAAACCCAGAGGAGTGTACGGCATATACCAAAAGAGGGAAGATTTATGCACATCTATGAAAAAATATTCCCAGAGGATACTACTGAGAAAGCGATGACAGTTGCTGTCTCTGGCAAGGGAAATTGGGTGGCTCAGGGGCAGGGTTGGAGAAAGGCTTTAAAAAACTACATTTAAAAAAATCTCTTGATGATGCCTTTTGTACCCATAGATATGCTTAAATTTTGCCTCAGAAACTCGAATTCCCCTTCCTTCTGGCCACCTCCCTGCAGCCCCAGGTCTCCCACTCGCTGCCTCCTGGCTCCAGGTGAAATCCTCAGACTCCAGATCCCTGTCCCAGACAAGTAGGCTGCTTTGTGGCTTTCAATCTTACTGGACAAGGTGTTTCAGCTTCTTTCACTTTGGGAGAGAGCTCATTGGACCCTGTCATTCTCTCCTTAGGGGCTCTTGACACAAGAGGAAACATGATTGCCCGCCAGAGCTGTACCCACCCAGAGGCCCAGTCTATGCAACTTCAGTTCTCTCTCATTAAACCGTGTTTACAGCCAGACGCTCATTTAATGATGCTCCTCTCAGGGTTGGAAGAAGAATATGGAAACAGCTGCCCACAACCACAGCTTATCTCCCCTGGGTGTCAGTTTTCTTCTTATTTCTCGTCTGTTATTTCATCCTGGCTGTCTATGCCTTGACCATCTTTATGTGGCTAAAGTTATAGCTGGATCTGAGTGTCAGGCTGGTTTCAGTTTAAGATCCGAATTAGAAAGGTGAATAATTTTTGCCAACACCAATAGAGAGCTTTTCCCCCAAATGAGGGGCTAAATGTTTATCACTGTACATGGCAATGTCAGCTTTGGGCTCATCATGGAGTCGGCTGTTTTAATTAGTCACATGTAATTGGAGTTGGTGCGTTATTTGTACGAGGTCACCTGGGCTATGAAACCTTGAGTTTTGAGGCAGTGCTCTGCAGTAGGAAGAGATGCCTCTGGGCAAGTCACTTAAGAGTTTATCTCCTTTAATGGTGAAAATGTTAAACTTTTGTTGTTTATTTTGCCACATTAAAGAAGAAAAAAAAGAGTTTATTCCCTCATTTGCCAGATCAGATTGTCAATCTCTAAGGTTCCCTCCAAGTCTAGAATTCTGTTTTGATTCTGTGACCTTACTTAGGACAGTCCTGAAACCAATTTGGAAAATAGGGAATCAGTACTAGACAGCTTCTAAAATTGGCATTGTGTTTAAATAAGAGGTAACTTGGAAATAAATATCTCTTCCTTTTTATTTCAAAGACCGAAAGGATTATCAGTGGGATTTCCTAGTTTTGCAGGCTACATCCTTATGAATAGTACCCTGAACCTTCTACAGGCATGTCACGTGCACATGCAATCACACCACTTCACCAGGAGACTCAGGATTCAACTATAAGTTTGATTTGAAGGACCAGCACAACTCCAAACATCATAACTGACGTCCTGTGCGGAAAAAAACTCAGGGGCTGTTTGGGGGGATTTGTCTACGCTTTACATGGAATGGCATGCTGCCCTGGCCGGGTAGTTCAGTTGGATAGAGCATCATCCTGATACACCAAGGTTGTAGGTTCGATCCCCAGCCAGGGCACATACAAGAATCAACCAATGAATGCATAAATAAGTGGAATAATAAATCAATGTTTCTCTCTTCGCTCTCTCTGTCTCCCTTTCTCTCTCTCTAAAATCAATAAATAGCCCTGACCAATATGGCTCAGTTCGTTGTGTACCGAAAAGTTGCTGGTTCGATTCTCACTCAGGGCATATGCCCCAGGGTTGCTGGCTCCATCCCCAGTAGGGGGCATGCAGGAGGCAGCCCATCGATGTTTCACTCTCGCATCAATGTTTCTCTCTCTCTTCCTCTCCCTTCCCCTCTCTCTAAAAATCAACAAAAATATTTAAAATAAATAAATAAATATAAATTTTAAAATTTAAAAAGAATAAATGGAAGGGCACATTAAATATTACTTGTTAAATTTGAAGCTAATCTTTTCAAGTAACTACCTCAGGAGCTTATTGCACTATGGAACAATTACGTGTTCTTAGGTCAACTTGGGGAATTGAGTGCTACATCTGAATGTTACCCCACGACACCCCAGACAACTAGGTACTTCCCTTACTGCCACGTTATCAGTGAGGAAACTAAAGGTTGAAAAGGCAAGATAACTTCCCAAGGCAAGTGAAAGAGCCAGAGTGTTTTTCAGTGTATTCTTAAATTGTGAAATATAGCCTCATGGAATAAAGGATACATGTAAACTATAATGAATTTTATAAGCAAACACCTATGTAATTGCTACCCGAGTCAAAAAAGGAATATTGTGGGCATCCCANTCATGGAATAAAGGATACATGTAAACTATAATGAATTTTATAAGCAAACACCTATGTAATTGCTACCCGAGTCAAACAATGGAATATTGTGGGCATCCCAGAAACCACCCTCACACTCCCATCTTGGGTCCCTTCTCCATCCTGCTTCACACTCCCTCCCCCAGAGGTAAATGCTGGCCTAACTTTTCAAAGTAATCACTTCCTTGTTTGTTTGTTTGTTTAACTAATTTTACCACCTAATGAATGCACAAAGCCAGGATTTCTACTCAGGTCTGTGAAACCCCAAAGTCTGTGCTCTTAACCTCAAGATAATACCTCCTCTTGTTCTATCAGTTGCTAAAAGATTAATTTAAATCTCCTATCAATTGTGGATTTGTTTCTCCTTTTAGATCTGCCAATGTCTGCATGATGTATTTTGAGGCTGTTGCTAGAGACATACCAATTTAGAACTATTTTATGTCCCTCTTGACTCTGACAACGATTCTTTTTAAAAAAAAAAAATTTTTTTTTTTTTTTAATTGATTTCAGAGAGAGGAAGGGAGAGATAGAAACACCAATGATGAGAGAATCATTGACTGGCTGCCTCCTGCATGTCACCTACTGGGGATCAGGCCGCCAATCCGGGCCTGTGCCATGACTGGGCATAGAACTTCGATCTCCTGGATCATAGATCGATGCTCAACCTCAGCCATGCCTGCCAGCCGGGCTCTTTTGTTTTTTGATTTTTAGAGAGAGGAAGGGAGAGGAAAAAGATACAATGAAACATCAATTTGTTGTTCCATTTATTCATGCACTCATTGGGGGTTTTTTTAAATGTTTTTATTGATTTTGAGAGAGAGAGGGAGAGGAACTGGGAGAGAAGCATCAATCCACTGTCTCCTGCTCACCCCCTACTGGGGATTGAGCCCCAAACCCCAGCATGCGTTCTGACCAGGTATCGTGCCTGTGACCTTAGTGAATGGCGCAATGCTCAACCAACTGAGTACACCAACCAGGACTAATTGGTTGCTTCTTGTATGTGCCCTGACCAAGGATCAAACCCACAACCTTGGCATATCGGGACAACGCTCTAACCAAGTGAGCTACCTGGCCAGGGCTCTAACAAGGATTCTTAAGGTCTTATAGTTTAGAGCCTTAAAGTCTCATTTGTCTGATTTTAATAATGCTACACCAGCTTCCTTTGGATTAGTGTTCATGGTATCTTTTTCCTTTTTTTTTCTGCCTCAATAAGACTTGGAGCATCTTTCTATATATTTTTGTGGCTTCTTGACCTATTTGCAAAGTCATCGGTACTTTCTAGTTCTGAAATACAAGACTAGAACAAGAAATAAGGAAAAAAGAAAACAAAAAGATGAGAATGAGTCTAAGCCTGAGGTCAAGCCCCCAGCCTGACTTGCACTGTCCTTTGGCAGCTATATTTCTATGTGAAGAAAGGTCGCAGCTGGGTTTCCATAAATTAGTGCACTTTGTCAACATAACACTCATTCACGTAGGTTATGTCTAGTGGGTCCAAATTAGTAAGCTGTTTATTCAGATACTTATTGCATAAGCACACTGGAGTATACTACATAAATTAGTTAAACGTGGTACCACAATCATTGCAAGTCAAAGAATTTTATTGTCCAAGAGACTCTTTCTGCTGACACAGGAGGCCTGTTCTCAAAGGCAGGAGCACCAGGAGGTGCCCAGTCCTCACTCCTCCGCACTCTGTGTGCTGATGTAGTCCTGGAGAAGCACCTGCGCCTCTGCCCGCCGGCTCATCTTGGTGGCCTTACCCTGAAAGCGGCCTTTCTTCCCCGCTCCTTTGCCTTCCAGCACCTCAGCCACCCTGGGAAGCAGAGATACAGTCAAGGGGGAAGGAAGTCTTCAAGAGAAAAGCCACAGAAAAACCCAGAGCAGCCCTGAGTCTTTCCCCGTGGGCTGGGGGTGAGGGAAAGGAAGAACAGATGGCTTCTAGAGATCCTTCTTAAACACATTTGCACATGTGCACATAGGTAGTATAAGAGTGAATCACTGGAGACAACAGAAGTGACTAGAAATGGGCTAAATTATGGCATCTCCAGGGAGCAGGGTGAGTGTACACTAGGGGTAAGGAGCTACAGACATGCCTGTGGGGAGCAGCAGTGAGGCAAACTGGGGGTGGGCGAGAAAGGTGGGACTGTGGCAACCTGGACAAGCCTGTCGTGTCTGAAGAGGGCGGCCACTGCTCAGGTTCCTTGTAGCTACTACAGTGTGAGAATGTGAGCCTGGTGTTGCCTTTTCCCCCTCCTTTTTTGAGAAAAGCTAGAATGATGTATTTTTATGTAAAAATCTCCTGGTTTTAAAATGTAGCAACTAATTTTAAAAATATTAAATAGTATAAGGCCAAACCAGTCTACAGGCCAATTGTGGCTGCCTGTCAGGAACCTCTGCTCTAAAAGCTTGTGTTTTCCTACAATGCATTACAGCAAGGGCATATTCATTGAGGGTCACTCAGGACTTTGCAAACTCTGTTAGATAGGGGGCACTACACCACCATAACTAATTTAAAATAAAATATAAACAATAACATAAGGGGAAAGAAGCCCAACAAAGTTCTAATTGCTACTTAACAATTACATCAATGCCTTTTTAAATTTTGTTTCAAAATCCTAATTTTTCTCCCCAGAGTATGTGCCTCTAATTCGCTTGTGCCTTAAGCATCTGCCTCATTTGCCTACTGATAACCCGGCACCTGTATTCATGTATCACTTATGAATCTCAATTTCTAAAAGAAAAAACAAAGCACATGAGATTTGAAGCCAAAAGACCTGGGTTCAAGTCCCAGTTCTGCCACTTTGTGAGATCCCAGGCACCTGGTGTGCCATCCCTCACCTATAAAACTAGGAATGATAGTTGGTGATAATTATTTCAGCTCACCTTGCAGGCCTGTGATGTGAATCAAAATGAGACTGCAGATGTGGCAGCCTTTGTCATCAGTAAAGGGCTTTACTGGGTTGGGCTTACAGGCTCTCCCACCCATGCAAGGCAGTCCACGGAACATTACCTGGGTCCCAGGGTCTCTACCGCCTCATCTGGCCCTGCCAGTAAGAAGAGCCCAGCGCCTTTTTCATCGCCTACAGTTAAGAACAGGAGGGTCTCCTAGGAGGTAAGACAAGGAGATGAACCCTAATACTTAAGGATGTGGGCTCAACTCCCTAAATTGTGCACTCTCCTCTGCTTCCAGAACAGATTTATAAATCATATTGCAATTATAAATGTATCAAATCAACATGCTGTACACCTTAAATGACACAATGTCCTAATCCAACTAAAAAAAAAACAGGCTTTTTTTCCCTAAACCACAAGTGATGTTCTGGATGAGTGATAATGCAGCCTCTCCATTCTGGCCCACAGAGCCAAGTAACTTTTTGAGAGTGATCACAAGAACTTAGGTTCAGCACTAAGAAGATAAGCCCTGGCTGGTTTTTCTCAGTGGTTAGAGCACTGGCCTTGTAGACTAAAGGGTCCCGGGTTCAATTCCAGCCAAGGGCATGTACCTCGGTTGCAGGCTCAATCCCTGGCCCCAGTGCAGGCATGTGTGGGAGGCAACCAGTCAATGTGTCTCTCACTTCGATGTTTCTCTCCCTGCAGCCCCACCCCTTCCTCTCTCCATGAAAAGAAATGGAAAAAATATCCTCAGGTGAAGGTTAAAAATAAATGAAATATTTTAAAAAAACAAAACACCAAAAAAATAGAAGGCTGACAACCATGGCCAACATAAAACACCTTTCGTGATCTGACTCCCGCCAACCTTTACAGCCTGGCCACCACCAGTACCCCACATACCCTGTTTCCTAAACCTCCATGTGTCCCTCTGCCTGGCCACCTTTGCTCCATTGTCTATGACCACTAAGCAGTCTCCAAGACCTCCTCCCATCAAATAGGTAATGTGCTCCTCTGCCTCTAGTATTTACCATCCTAAATTATAAATGTCGACAGAGTTCTGAAAAGAGATATAAACACTGCTCGACCCACAATAGGTATTCCAAGTGATTTCTGGAATAAATGTTAAAGAGAGACCTGAAGTTACTAAGCCCTGGACTGTCAGGATGGGGAAGGGCAGTGGAAGCCAGAGGAAAAGGGAAATGGAAGGGATGGCCTTCAAAGGGCCTAGCCGATCCTCCCATTTCTAAATAGGCCCAATCCTGGCCGGTGTGGCCCAGTAGTTAGAGCATCAGCCCACACACTGAAGGGTTATGGGTTCAATTCCCAGTAAGGGCACCTAGTTGGGTTGCAAGTTCGATCCCTGGCCCTGGTTGGGGTGCGTGGAAGAAGCAACCAATTGATGTCTCTCCCACATCAATGTTTCTCTCTCTCTCTCTCTCCCTCCTAACCTCCCTCCCACTCTCTCTAAAAAAACAAAAAATCAATGGAAAAAATATCGGATGAGGATTAAAAGAAAACAGTACCGAATAAATTTCCAGTCCTTGGTCTTCATGTGCTCATGTGGAGGGACTTCAGCTAAACTAACACCCCTCATTTAGGTCTCTACCCAGAATGCATAGAGAACCTCATGCACCTCTTACCTCTGAGCCGATCTCATTGGCAATGATATTCATGAACTCAGAATCACCCTCCTTCCTACAACAAAAGGCACAGACATGAGATCCAAGCTGGAGAGGGAGCTAGGAAACCCCATGATGCCCAGCTCCTCCTCGGGAGGTTGGCCTCCCTGCTGCCTGTTTGTGCGAAGTTGGGAGTCTGGCTTCCCTGACTGTTTGTGTGAGTCCCAGACTCCCTTAGCAAAGGGAAAAAGTGTGGGCTGGGGACCAGCAGGACATTCTTCTCAGCATCAGCAGTTCATAACAAGCTTTGCATTTATTTCTGTCTCCCTTTAATAGGATTCACCAAGGTAAGTGGAGATCTGTGAGATGGTGAAGGAGGTGAGGGAAGATGCTAATGAAAGAGAGATGTTTATATCAAACCCTAGAAATCTTGTAGGTAACACATTTCTTAGGGTCTCCCCAGCCTTGAGAATATCAGTGAGTGACCTACGACCCACTGCATACAGGGGAGAGGCTGAGCCCTAAAGCCTAACGGCCCCTGCCTTGTTTCTCACCTGTGTAATGTGACCACACCTCCCCAGTCTGGGCTGTTCCTGAGGCTGTGGGCAATGTGCACAGCTAGGTCTCTCAGCAGATTCAGGTTGTTCTGAAATGGATGTCAGATCTGAGTAGACAGGAAGAAAGGATAACAAGAGCACCACCTCCCTCCATTGCGTTCTCCCCTTACTCTCCCCTCTGACAAACTACACATCTGGTTAGGCGGAGGGGCCGAGTTCAGGGAGCCTATGCCAGGCAGAGCCCATGCCTCTCTACCCTCCATGGAATAACCACCTTCTGCAGGAGCTTGGTGGAGTTCTGCAGCTTCTTCACTGCCTCCACGTGATCCTCTGCTCCACACCTGCAAGTGAAAGGTCCGTGGAGATCTGCCCAGCTCCCCAATTGCTTTGGTGTTGGGCATACATCCACAGCACTTTATCACTTATGATCACATCTTAACCCCCCGAGATAGGTTATTCTGTCTGCCTTCCAGGCAGGAAAGCTGAGTCCCGGGGTGTCCAGGACCTGAGAAACAGAAAATAACAGAAGGAGATATACTTAAGCAGAGAGGTCAGTGCTTTTTCAGTTCCATAACTTCTTTCCATCCACTTCAGCACCCGGTCCCCAGCCAGAAATATCAGGTTGGTTTTGTTCTTTTTCCCCTTCTCAGTGCCCAGAAGTTTAATGACCTACATGAGGCAAGGGGGTAACACACACACACACGCAGAAACCACAGTGGGTGCTGGACCCGAAGGTAGGAGACACCTAGATCTCCCCCTCAGCTGGGAAGCAATAAAGGAGTGATTTCGCTCAAGACTCCCCAGTTGTCCCCCTCCATCATTCCCAACCCTGTCATGATCCCACACTCCCCTGGCACCTTCTCTCCTCACCATTCAAAAGCCCTTCCTCACCTACCTGCAGGTCACTGAGATTGCTCACATGGGTCCCACAGCACATGTTGGAATCAACACTCTTGATGGTAACAACTCGAATGGGCCCAGCATGGTCATCTGGCAAACCGCGGCCCCTCACCTAAAACACAGGGGAGGGAGAAGGGCTGTCTGAATTTTGATGAGGAGACCTCAGAGGGCGATTCTACAGAAGCCACCCCATTGGCTCTCCCCTCACCTGTTCCACCTCAGGATCATCTAGGCTCAGTTCTCGCACACTCACGGGCAGCCGATCTCTGATTTTTTCATTGACCCTCTGCTCAATGGCAGCTACTTGCTCTGCAGTCACAGAGGGGCTGTCCAGCTCAATCACACTCCGGAGTCGCCCTAATTCCCTGTCAGAAGAAGTAGAGTAGCCACAGGATGCTGATGATGACAATAATAATAATATAAGAAAGTTTACAGTTTACAAAGACTGTCCACATAAATTACTTAACCCTCACAAAAATCCTGCAATGTAGGGATTGTCATTTCCATCTTACAGGTGAGGGGTAATATGAACATGATCAAGGTCACACAGCCAGGATTCACCCCACAGGTCTTTAGGCTCAAAATGCTATGTTCTTTCCTAAGCAAAAGCAGATATCTCTCCTCTCATCCTAGTGTTTCCCCCAAGAAACACAAGGTCATCCACCCCTGCCTTCAAGGGGATCAGGAGAACACAGCAGATTTTGAACACTGCTCCTTCTTTTAGCCTCCAACCCCCTGACCCATTACTGGGAAAAGAGCTGGTAGTCAAGGCCCATGCTCTACAGTTGTCTTATGCCTCCTGCTCACCACGATGTTGTTTTCAGCCCAAACAGATGATCGGCAACCGCTGTGATGAGATGCTGCCCTGAGAAGAGAAAACAAGAGACAGAAGAGTGAGAAGCCCAGTCAGTCACATACTCCCACATCATCACAGAAATTTTCCTTGCTGAAGACCTGCCAGGCAATGGGTAATATTCTTGAGATACTTTATTGAATATCCTCACGAGAATTCTGCATGAGGCTTTATGATGCCATTTCACAAATGAGGAAACTGAGGTCTAAGATGTCCAATAACTTGCCAAAGCAATGTAGCTTATCAGAGGCAGGATCTGAACTGAAGTTCTAATGTGCCACATTCATCCAACAAATATTTATCAAGTGCCTACCACATGCAGGGCTTGACATTAGAAATACAGCATTATCCTTGACTGATGACAGTGGGGAGGAGGAGGGGGAGGAGGAACTAACTGTGAAGGCAATGGGAATAATACAGCCAAAGGCCTTGAAGGAGGAAAGAAACAAGATGTGTTCAAGGAATGGAGAAGAAGGTCAGTGTAGCCAGAATGCAATGCAGAGAGCAAGAGGGTAGGACGCCAGCTGAGGCTGGAGCTGCAGACAAATGCCAGCCCAGGCAGGGATTGGGGGCCATGGTAAGTTTAGCTTTATCATGAACAACAGGAAGCTCTTGAAACGCTTTAAGCTGGAGAGTTCCATGATCAGATTTTAATTTTTAAAAGATTATTCTGGCTGCTTTGTGAAGAAGGGACTGCAAGAAGCAAAACGGAATGTGGGAGACGAGCCAGGAGGTTATTACAAAGGTCTGGGGAAAGACAATGAGAGCTGGGGCCTAGATGATCACATTGACAGTGGGAGGAAATAGGGAAGTATTTAGAAAAACCGACAGGACTCAGTGATTGACTGGCTATCCCCAAAGAGGCATCTGGACTAACTTCCAGGATTTCAGCAACTGGGTGGATGCTGATGTCATGCACTAAACACAGAGAATGCTAATGGAAGACCAGGTCTGGGGGAATGGGTGACTTTTTTTTTTAATATATTTTTATTGATTTTAGAGAGAGAAGAAAGCAGAGGGAGAGAGAGAGAAGTATCAATCGGTTGTCTCCTGCACACACCCTGACCAGTAACGGAGCCTGCAACCTGGGTGTGTACCCTGATCGGGAATCAAACCAGTGACCTTTTGGTGCAAGGAACAACACTCAACTGAGCCACACCAGCCAGGGCTGGAATGGGTGACTTTTAAATACCATTTTGGACATTTTGAGTTTAAGAAGTCTATGAGATATCCAGATAAAGATACCAAGTGGGAAGTTGGTAATACTCAAATCCAGCAGTTATTCTAATACTTTTAATTGCTATATTGTTTTTATAACATCTATCATAACCCGCCTCAGTTGGAGCTGATTCTGAATACGTCTGACTTTTCCAAAAGGCTAACTCCTAGAAAACCCAAACCATATCTCAATCATCGTGGTATCCCTAAACATAGCAGCTACTCCTCTGATAGATTCTCTTATCCTGCCCCACCCACCTGAGTGCTGCTGCATGTGGTCAAACCTCCGCTCCCAGTCCACCCGGACGTGAACCTCAGTCCCAGGGGTCAAGGGTGTCTGTGTGAAATGATCAGCCTCGGTCCCCCGGCGGGTCACTCTCAGCACAGAAATGTCATTGATTGTACCATGGTCATCAGGCTGGGGAAAAGAAGATAATCAGCAGTGGAAGGCACGGCTCACCCTAACTCCTGGATACAAAGACCCTCTAGGGAAAGTGTGTGAGAAACACACTCAGAATTTGAGATTCCCTATGGAATGCCAAGTGAGGACGTCCACTTTGTTCCATGAGGGAACTGCCTCTGTCCTCTTCACTCTGAACATTTATAAAACAAAGATTGCAACTACAGCAATGAAGATTTTAACAAAACCCAAAGAACCTTAATCCTTACTCTCATTCCCTTAGTTTAGATCCTTCTTTCAATAGCTTCTAAAATGATCTGACTTTTCTTCCCTCTCTCCAGTCCATCCTCTGCACTGCTACTAGAATTAGATTAAAAAATATTCACTCATTCATTTTTTGAAATATCAAGTGCCAACTGCTTATAAGACACTGTGCCAGCCTAAACACACAATGTAAACAAGATGTGATCCCTCGTGGAACTTTAGAGTCTGGAGAAAAATACAGACATGCAAACAAGTAATTGTAATATGATGTACAACATGTCATGAAAAACATGTCATGTGCAACATGAAAAAGTACACTGTTCTAGAGGAGCTCAAAGGAAAGAAACCTAACAGTCTTAGGGAATCAGGGAAGACTTCCTAAAGTAAGTGATGTATAAAATGAAACATCTATGGTTGCCTGAGGTCAAAAATTTTCTTCAGTAGATCAGAAAACCTCCATGTTGGAAAAATCACTGTAATAATGACACTGATATGAAATTGGAACTATCTCACTATCAAGTTTACTGAACATGTCCTTTCACGTCATTTTTTTGCCTATGTACCTCCATGGCTTACCATAGATTCCTGAATGAAGTCCACACACCTTAACGCATCTTTGAAGGACCTCTGAAATGGCACTCACTTATCTTTCCAAAGTCACCTCCAGCCTGTCATCAACCAAGACACACCACAGACTCTGACTCTATCTGACTATTTGCAGTTGACTAGACTTGTTAGATTCTTTCAGGCTTCCCTGCCATTTTTTGCGCTACTGTCTCTGCTGGAAAAGCCTCTCCCACAATGCCCACCTTTGGCATTATTATCCTCCTTTCCCATGTTCACACTGCACCTTGTTGCTACCCCATCACAGCACTGATAAGTCTGCCCTCTGTTGTGCTGGCTCAGAGGAATCATTTTTAGTTCCTGTCAAACACATAAGCGAATGCCTATCTCAGGGCCTATGCACTTGCTATTCCTGCTACCTGGAAAACTTCCCCCTCTCCCACCAGCACTAGACAATTGCAATGGCTTACCCCTCACTCCCCTTAGGTCTCTACTGAAATAACTTGCCCCCTACCTAGGAGAACATCCCATCACTCTTTCCCTCAAGCTTTATTTATAGCACTTATCATACCTGGCATACTATTTACCTATTCCCAGTTTTGTCTGTCTTCTCCAATAAATATTCTATGTATGTAGAGGAACTGTTTTGTTAACCCCTTACCCTTAAAGCCTGGAATTGTACCCAGAATGTGTTACGGCTATTTAAGTATTTGTTGATCAACATCTGTTGAATGGACAAATGAACTGAACTGAACTTCCATCTGATTTCACAACGGCAGGGACAGAGGAGGGGCAGCACATTTTCCACCTGGGCAGAAAGGAGCTAGGGGCTTCGCGGGAGGGGGGAGGAGGGAAGGACGGCGCCGGGTACCTGTCCCCCGCCCTCCGGGAAAAGCAGCGTGTCTTCCAGCACCACTTGGAAGCCGCTCAGCACTTCCTTCTTGCCTTTGCTCCCTTCGGTCTGTAGCTCCGCCGGACGGCAGGAGACCACGGTGGTGGTGAACTGAACAGAGGAATGAAAGAATAAACTGAATCTCGCTCGGCTCCCCCTCCGCACGGCGCCCTCTTCCCGCCCCGCCCCGTCCGCTCCGCAGCATCAGGTCCCCCGCCGAGCCGCCCGCACCTCCCGGGCGTAGCTGTCCCGCTGACACCGGAACGCCATCGCCACGGTTCCCCGGGACGCGGGGATCCCAGCTCTGAGGCGCCTGGGGGCGGACGGAGGCCGGCGCGGGACAATCTTCCGTACGGAGGCGTCTCTGCGCAGAAGCGCGAGAACGAGGAACGGGGTGTGGTTGGGACAAATTTGTTGAAAACGCGACTTGCAGACGGTCCGGGCTGTTTAGCAACTGTTTTATGACTTGTAAAGGACCAGAGAACAAAACAAAACTGTGCCCTGAACTTGCCAAGGCACTTTTTAGCCCGTTGGGCTCCGGGGATGTGTGGTAGGTAGAGGTGGGGATGGTACCGGTTTGGATACTCGACAGCGTGCGCAACAGAAATAATGCAAGCCACGTTTGTCAATAACACATTTTACTTAAATCAGTATATCCAGAATTTTTCATCATGTAATAGGCACATAAAAATAAACTTTTTCCAGTATAAAATTTTCGAAACCTGGTCTATTTTACACTCACATCTCATTACAGATTAGCCACAATTCAAGCGCCACATGTGACGAGTGCTACCGAATTGGGACAGTGTAGACAGAGGTTAAGAGAAGTTAACAAACTGCAGTCAATGCCTTAAAACTTTGAACCGTTTCAAAGTTAAAGTTAATTTACTTTCTGCTCTTTCAAATTAACTAATAAATAGCCTGAAGACTCCAGATGTTTCAGAATTTAGGATTTTTCAGATTTTAGGAAGTAATGGAGAGCATACTCCATGTGTTACTTAACACACTCCATTTGGAACTCAGGAGCAATATCATGTAATCAAAATCATTAATATTTATGAGAAATAAATACACTAAATGGAATAAACAGACTATAAATAGCCTCACATCATTTTAGGTCATGTTTTGCTGTCAAATGAGTTTTGGTGTCAATTTTTGTTGTTGTTGGTTTTCAGGAATTTTCATATTTCAGAATTGTGGATAAGGGGACATGCTATACAAATTCAAGTTCCAACTTTGCCACTTATTGTAACCTGTTTGATTACCTATGAAGAAAAGACTAATCATTTTATAGGGTCCATAGGACATTCAAAAAATTTTAAAGAGAAAACAGTAAATTGTAAAACATAATACAAATATAACTTTGTATTAGCAGTATTTTTCTTAAAGAACTAATGCCACCTTTAAAAGTATAAAGAGATTCTGGAGTGTGCGGGAAGCTGAGGTGGGTTTCTGGCTGGTTCTAGGGGTGGCAGTATTAGCCACATAGGGAAAGGCTGGTTTCTCGAGCAATGAGGGCCAGGATCTCTGACATCCACTCCTGCCCCCTCCCTTAAAGAGAAACTATAGAGGGAGAAGAGGCTTGCCTCCAGGAGGAAGAAATACAAGCAGGAAAGAGACAGACCAGTTCCTAGAGATTTATTATAATCTATATGCTGCTTCTTTGGCTTTTGCTCTACCTCATACACACACATGCTCAAATACTCAAGGGAGCCCAAACACGGAGATGATAGCTAATTGGTAGGAAGTCAGCAGTCCCACCGGTCTACTTCTCTGCTATTTTGCCATTTGATGCTGCAGCCATAGTCAAGTACCTAGGGGGGAAAAATAAAGCATGAAGGAGGACCCTTAATTAAGAGCTTCAAGGAAAGATCTGAGATCCCAGAGGACCATGGTACACAGCCAAAGAGCTGGACAAAAGCCCAGGCTCTGGCTTGTCAGAATGACTGGAAGATAGCCACAGCTTCCTCCCCAGCTCTGCTTCGCAGAAGTTAATTACTTGTTGCATCGGCACTGTCAGAATCATCCTAGAAAAAAAAAGATGAAAGTACTTGTAGAGTATGGAAAGAGTGAACATTTCTGCTTTCCAAGTTTTCTTTTGTGATTTTCTGAGTCACACAACTTCTTGTGAGGCTACTATGGAAGGATTTAAACTTTGGAAAATAAAATAAACCACTAGTGTTCACTAAACAGCACTGTGTCATTTATCATTTAGTTTCAGGATATCAATTAATGCTGCTGCTCCTTACAACTGTAAAGATAGTCAACAGGGCCAGATCTGCTCTAGGATGGAGAAGCAGAGGGAGAGATGAAAATGAGGAGGGTCTTGCTAGGGTTTTCTTTTTCTTTCTTTTTTTTTAATGTGCAAAAGTTTATGTAGAAAGTAAGAGAGGTAGACGTGAGCCATAGAAGAAATGGGTTCAGGCCTGGCCAGTGTAGCTCAGTGGTTGAGCATCAACCCATGAAACTGGAGGTCACTGATTGCCGGTCAGGGCACATGCCAGGGGTTGCAGGCTACATCTCCAGCAGGGGGCATGCAGGAGGCAGTTGATCAAGTATTCTCTCTCATTATTGATATTTCCATCATCTCTCTCTCTCCCTTCCTCTCTCTGAAATCAATAAAAACATTTAAAAAATTAAATTAAAATAAAAAATAAAATAAAATAAATGGATTCAGGAAACAAGTTACAGAGGCAAAAGAAGGGCCCTTGGAGCTTAGGAGAAAGAGAGAAAGGTAAAAGTAGCATGCCTGGGGGGAAGAAGAGAGGAAAGTAAAGGCTCCGGTGTGCTCTCAAGAGGGAGAGCACTTGCTGGGGTGGTTTTTCCAAAGCCTGGAGAAGAACATTCTCCCTCCTGTATCAAATTCAAATTTGGCTAAAAGAAAAAATCAAATTTGGCCAACATGTACTGAGAACTGCTGTGTGCTAGGGACTGAGACAGGAGCTTTCTAGTATCTTATTTTTAAGAGCAAAAAGGAAACTGAATGAAGGGTTGAGGGGCAGGCATTACTTACATCCAGATCGTCCATGGCAGGGGGAGGTCTCTTGGTGCTGACTTTCTGCAAAAGCTAAAGGGAAAAGCAGTCACAAGGGAGAAGAGCAACCCACATACTGATGGACCATAGGAGAACGGTCCCAGCCAGACAACTGCCCTCTCTTTAAAGGCCCTAACAGATCAGTGGAATGAGTTAGAGAAAAGTAAATGGATCCCTTTTTTAAAAATTTAAACACACACAGACCACCCTCCTTACTAATCCAGGTCAGGATCTGCTAGTGTTTTTGCAACTTGAATAACTAGTACTAAAATTCTGAAACCAAGTAATTTATTGGGAAATAGTAATCCTTTAATGTGAATTTTGTACTGCTTAGTTTGAGCTTCCCATGAAATTGTCTGGCTCAATACAAACACACACGTGGGAGCATGTACACACATGCACACACACACAAGAAAGAACAAAAATTACAGAAAAATAGGAAAAGGTTTTGCCAAACTTTTTTCAGAACACAGGCTCTACTCTATGAATAGTGAGTGAATCTATGTATACAATTTCACTAATAGAATATTCATTTTTCCCAACCCTGCTCCATAAACATTACACAAAATATGTAAAGAATATCAGCACCAATGAGCAGTCAGTCTAAGGAGCTCATATATCTCTGCCCAGCCCTGATGACAATCCTGCAGAGAAATATGTGCAGGGATACACAGTATGATCAAGATGGGCAGGAAGTGGCATTACCTCTGCATAATGTTCCACCTGAGCCAGCTCCACCTCTTCATCCCCTTCCCAGTCTCTCCAGTTATCAAAGTCCACAGACAACCACACTGGCTGCAAGAGAAAGCACAAAGAGTGACAGGCCAGGAGGGTGGCAGAAGTGTGGTTCTGTGCACAGGAGCATGCTTGGGGAAGGTCAGTGGGAGTGGTCTTCCCAACAGCACCACTTTGAGTAACCCCACCTCCAGGCTGCCATGTCATCATCATCATCCATAAAGACTTACCAAGAGCCTACTAAACAAAATGCCAGGATTTGTAGGAGATGGAAAAGCATAGAAATTCTGCCCTCCAAGAGCAGATTGGCTAGGAAGATAACACATCCAGAAATATAACTGTGTCATAAAGTATCATAGAGTCAACAAAGCAAGACAGGGCCAAGCTTTCAAGATCCATGTTCCAAGTTCCCACACTTAGACAGAGAAAGAAGTTATTCACTAATTCATTTAAAAGATATTTATTGAACAGATACTATGGGTTAGACTCTGAGATTGGCACAGGGATTATAAAAATGTTTAATACATAGTCCCAGCCATCAAGAAGCAAATGGGGAAGGGAAATGTAAATAAACCATTATAATACAGTGTGAAAAGGATGGTAGGAGGTTATGTAGGGGATATCTTGGGAACCCAGGTTTCCTGGAGTCCTGGCCTTGAAGGATGAGCAGGGGTTAGGTAGGAGAAGGTGGTGGTGATGATCAAGGCTTCCAGGAAGAAGGCACAGCTTGAGTAAAGGTACAAAACTGAGAAACAGCCTGATGTGTGCAAAAGAGCTGCAAGCTGTTTGCTGTGGCTGGAATGTGAAGTTTGAGGGAGAGAGTAACGGGATATAAGGCTGCAGAGGGAGGAATAGCCAGGTCATCATTTTATATATCACGGTATGGTGCTTGGATTTCAACCTAAAGGGCAGAAGTTATGAGTTCAAATGCCTGAAAGAGTCATGAAGATAATGAAAAGGAGTAAACTGAGGTGGACCACATGTCCCATTTAAAGTTCCAACTCTAGGCAATTGGGAATTTTAGACCAGTGTGGCCAAAATCTCCATTTTTGGGGAGAAGCTAATAATCCGTATTTGTAGGTGAAATCTCCACATTTTTATATGTCAGCAACTAATCAAAACTTCAAAATAATTTTTATTTTAATCCTCACCCAAGGATATTTTTCCCATTGCTTTTCAGAGTGTATGGAAGGAAAGACAGAGAGAGAGAGAGAAAGACGTCAATGTGAGAGAGACACATCTATTAGTTACCCTCGAGCACCTGCCACAACCTGGGCCAGGGATGGAGCCTGCAGCCAAGGTACATGCCCTTGGCTGGAATCGAACCTGGGACCCTTCAGTCTGTGGGCTGATGCTCTAATCACTGAGCAAAACCAGCTAGGGACCAATCAAAATAATCTTTAACACTGTGAAAACTGCGAAAATAAACTTGAGAGCCAGATCCAACCAGCAGATGGCCAACTTACAATCTCTAGGAGAAAAGAAGCCACTAGAGCGTCTTAAGTAGGGGAGTGACAGGGTCAAATGTGTGTTTTATTTTTTTTAATGTTTTTATTGATTTGAGAGAGAGAGGAAGGGAGAGGGGAAGAGAAACATCAACTGGTTTGCTTCCTTGCATGCCCCCTACTGGGGATGGAGTCTGCAACCTGGGCATGTGCCCTGACCTGGATCTAACCTGCAACCTTTTGGTGCATGGGACAATGCTCACACCCGCCAGGGCTTAAATGTGTGTTTTAGACAGATAATGGGAGTGATGCATTAGACAGATTGGGGGATGGGGCTGAAAATATGCAACAAACCCAATGATGGATGAGGCCTGAATTAGGAAGAAATGAAGTAACAGATTCAATACTATCCAGGTAGTCAAACAGGCAGGACCTGGTGAATGATCAATGTTGGCAGAAAAGGAGGCAAGGGTGATTCCCAGACCTCACTTGGGTACCTGCGGACATGGATACAGAGCACAGGAGAAAGACCAGGTCACTCCTTACCTTGATATCCTCCTTGGTGAGCCGGGGCCAGGCCACTTTTTCCTTCCATTTCCTCACAAAGCAAGTAATGGAGCGGCCAGAGCGCTTATCCTGGGAGTCCTGCCACAGAGAGAGCCTCATTCTTAGAGTCTGTTTAAAAGAAATCTCCCATTTCCCATGCAGCCTTCCCATCCAAACCTTACTGTCCCACCCCATCCTTACCTTGGAGTTCACCTTGGCATAGAACTCAATCTCATTGTACAACTCCACTCCATCCGCATTCTTGCAGCTGAGGAGATAATGCAGCTGAGGAGATGTGGGAGGCTCAGTGCAGGGACATTAGGAGAAGGGAAAGGTTCCCAGGAAGCCAGGCTCTACAAAGGGGAAGCCATTACCTGAACACAATGCGGTGGTCTTCTAGGAGCACGTGGACATCGGTGCTGTCCTCAACACAAAACTCCATGAACACATACTTGGGCCTGTCATACCACAGGGTCCGGGCATGCTGCCTGAAGAGGAGTTGATGTGGGGCTTCACAGAGGTGGGAGAGGGAAGACTGAGAGCATTTGGGAAAGATGGAAGGAGGGGAAAATATAGGGATATTTTATGCTACAGCCCTGTCAAAATGAGACAGAAGGAGGTGGAATGGGAGTTATGGTAATGGGGGGGTGTGGTGAGGGTGAATCTGGAAAGAGTAAGTGTGAGAATGGAGAGGTAGGGAGTTATGGAGACCACTGAGTCACACTGCCCCTCACCACCCCAAAGTTACAGAGACCTGGGGTCTGGGGCTCCCATGGGACCTCACCGAACCTAGAGCGCCCAGAAAATGTGGGGCAAGGAATCTAAAGGGAAAAGGGCGGCCGGGACCACTCACCGTGCCATGGCGGCTCCCGCAGCCCGGTGCCGTTAGGTGTTCGAGGCGGGGGCCGCTATCTTTAGATCCTGGTGACGCCCCCAGCAGCTGCCTTTCCTTATATGGTTGGTGGAAGGTTTTAGAGGCAGGAGAAACTTGGCCCTACACCCGAGGGAGCCACGCTCCGGAGAGACTGTGGGAAAACAATCCCTGCAGCCCTTCACATCTCCGGTGCCCAGAAACGTACAGCTTTGGGAAGAGACGACCCGCCCTCTGGGACCAGGGCAAGGTACACACGGAATGACTTGTCCCCGGCTTCATACACCTGTTTCTCCAACGCTTAGTACATTCAGTGCCTGATTCACAATAGGCGCTCAATAAAAAAATTGTTGGCCCGAATTAAATCCCTGGGGAAGCCCGCCCTCCGTGACGAACTCGGTGACGTCTGAGCCCCGCCCACCCGCTCCTCGAGTTTCCCAGCCTGCCCGCCGTTGCCATGGCAGCAAGGGGGCGCAGCTGACGTGCGACGGCGTTTCCGGGAAGATGGCGGCTGTTGAAGTAGCTTCGGAGCCGGTAACGGTGGTGGCTGCCGTTGGGCTGAAGGCGAAGAACGAAGAGGAGGAAGAAGAGGAGTCACTGTCACCGTGCGAGACAGTGCGCTGGGCCCCAGTGGGGGCGGTGGCGGAGGCCGGGCCTGGGGCGACTGCATTCTCGGAAGAGGTGGCTGCCGAGGAACCCGGTGCGGCCCCGTGCTCCCCGCCAGACTCGCCTGGCCGGACGCTGCGGCGGCTGCGGGCCGAGCGGCGGCAGCTGGACTCAGCGCTGCTCGCGCTGTCCTCACACTTTGCGCAGGTGCAGTTCCGCTTGCGCCAGGTGGTGCGCGGGGCGCCGGCGGAGCAGCAGCGCCTCCTGCGCGAGCTCGAGGACTTCGCCTTCCGCGGCTGCCCTCACGTCCTGGGTTATGGGGAGCCCGAGGACCCCGCGAGCGACGAGAGCGACGGGCTTCCGGGGCACCGGCCACAGTTGCGGGGCGAGGACCAGGTAAGCAGCTGGGGCCAGAGCCCGAGGGATGTGGGAATAGGAGGGGCTGGGTGGGTGGCGATGCTGACGAGGATGGAGGTAGCAGTGGTAAGAAGCCCACCCGTGTAGGTGAGTACGCGCGTCCGAGACATGAAGATTGAGACGACAGGTGTGAGGGGTCCGCTGAAGGGCAAAAGGACTGAGGCCTGGGAACCTGTGCTGAGAGGTGTCCATCGAAGGTGTGATGATGTGAAGAGCAGAGGAGCTGTAAGCGAAGACAGTGTTTCGAGGGCAACAGAGCAATTAATCAAAGCCTTGCTGCTTCCGCTCACCTTGCCTTCACCTTATGAAATATCTGAAGTCCTGGCACATTTGCTGATAGAGTGCCCCGACCCTGGAGATTGGCAAAATTGGCTGGTGAAGAGCGAGTGAATTGGAGATCATGGAAAATTAGATCTACTCTGTCCGTGCTTTCCTGGAATCTAGAGAGTCTTTAATGTTTAGACTCTTGTCTGAGTGAGGGCTTTGGTGAACAGCAGGGTATCTTAGCAATTAAAAGAAACACAAATGAACCCTGGCCGGTGATGTTCAGTGGCAGAGCGTGGGCTTGCGCACCCAAGGGGTCGCGGGTTGGATTCCCAGTTAAGGGCATGTACCTGGGTTCCAGGTTTGTTCCATGCCACCCGGTCAGGGCCCGTGTGGGAGGCAACCAATCGGTCATCCACGTTTCTCTCTCCTCTCTCTCTCACTCACCCTCTCCACCCCACACACTATCTCTAAAGATCAATGGAAAAAATATCCTGGGGTGAGGATTAACAAAAAACAACAACGAAACAAGTGATTGCATGAATTTTCTAATGCTGGTATTTTAAAACTTCTTCCCCATCCTGCTTAATAATTAGGTATTCTAAGTGAGGTTCCTCTAGTATCTGACAAGATTCTTTTAGTTAGCCTACCTCAAGAAGTTATGAGAGTCAGTGTATCACACCAGGGGAACGTTTTCTTACAGTCTTTGAATCTCTGGAAGTGCCCAGCTGTAGATAGATGTTAAAGAGACTCTGTATTTTCTCCACCTTTATATTGTTTAAAGTTACAATCCACATATGGCTTTCTTCCCACTTAAATTGATTTTAACCAGAAGACTTATCAGTAACAGATACTGAATTATTCTGATCTGAAATAGTTCCAGTGCAGTGCAGTGTTTATTGTTCCACCCTTCTCTCCACATACGCACAGCTCCTTGCGCAAACAAGGAGCGGTCACCTCAAATTGCCGGACTCTTAAGGAAGAGAAAGGGTAGAAAGAATTACTGTGGCCAAGCCCTGCTCAGGTGTGAGGAGCACCAAAGGTTCTCTGTGGACTTGCTCTTTTGGTTGTCATTTTCACTTTCAGAAACAGAGTACAACTTTGGGGGGGGAGACTCAAAAATACCTAATAAGCAGCTGTAATTTTGTGTGCATATATTGACACATGAACAGGTAGCGCCCAAGTGGAGGATATGTGTAAACCAAATGATTTACTTCTTAGCAGTTCTTGACTTTTTTAAAACCAGTATTTTATCTCACTTCATACTGGAAATTATTTATTTCCTGTCTTGCAGCAGAGCTCATTGTTCTATCCTATTAAGCTTGTTTGCTCACATTCCAATAAATAGTACCATTATGGCAAGTGACAAAGTTCAGCGGACATCCTCATCAAAACGGAATCAGGATTTATAGCTGGTTTGTTTGTTTCTTGGTTTCATAAAGTTGGGCTACAATGAAAACACAAAGTTTACCCAGTTCTTGCTCCTTGAGCTGGTTAGACAACTTCCTCTAGTCAGAGTTCATTATAGTAGTCCCCGCTTATCCTAGGGGAATTCTTTCAAAGACCCCCAGTGGATGCCTGATGCCTTGGGTAGTACTGAATACATACTATGTTTTTTCCTATATATACATACCTATGATAAAGTTTAACTTATAAATTAAATTATAAATCTCTTGTGTGTACAATAAGAGATTAACAATAAGAAGAAAATAGAACAGTTACAACAATATACTGTAATAAAAGTTATGTGAATGGCGTTGGGCCGTTAGTAAGTAAAATACAGGTTACCTGAACACAAGCACTGCAATACCGAAACAGTCAATATAGCCAGAACAACTACTAAGTGACTGATAGGTGGGTGGTGGCTACAGCGTGGATACCTGCATAGTCTGCATAAAGGGATGATTCAGGCTCAGGATTTCATAACACTACTCAGGACAGTGCACTGTTAAAAATTTTTGAATTGCTTATTTCTGGAATTTTCTATGTAATATTTTTGGACCTCGGTTGACTGCAGGTAACAAACCGCAGAAGGTGAAACTGCAGATAAGGGGGTACTATTGTGTTTGGAATGGGTTGTTCTGTACGTGATTCAGTAGCATAAAACAAATGTGTATTGAGAGCTTACGCTGTGCCAGACGCTGTGCTAGGCCTTGAGGGTGCAAAGCCAAGGCCCTTGCCTGTAAGGAGTTCATAGACTGGGGGAGACAGAATCCTAAACAAATAATTATAATGTGACTTGAGCTAGAGTAGAAGTGTGTACAAAATAGAGTGGAAGAAATGATCAATCAGTTCTGCTCGGGGAAATCAAGGAAACCTTTTAAAGGATAGCTAGGCCTGCACTAAGACAGAAAGAGGAACAGAAGAAAACACCACAACACTCAGAAAGGATTGGAGAGGGAGTATCCTGAAAAAAGGCTTGCTTTCTTGTTGACTAAGGGTAAAGTAAGAGCATTGCTTTTTAAATAACTTGAACAAAAAGTTAATTTGTTGTTTTCCATTTGTTCTCTCTCATACCTTACTTCTGGAGGGCTTGGTAAGTACCATTTTAAGGTTAAATTTAATATCCTGTAGACTTCTAGTTTAAAATGCAGCCTTATTCTTGCATGATTTGCTGGTTTGCTTTATTTTGATACTCAAGAAAGGCATGGAAGAAGCAATGTTTGAGTATATATTGGCCACCCTGAAGGGATTATAATAATTTAAATGCGGAAACTACCTCGTTGTCAATAGTGGGAAAAGGAGTCACTGCTCAGGGAAACTTACCAGACATTTTTTTTAAAAAACACTGTTACCGCCCTGGCCGGTTTGGCTCAGTAGTTAGAGCGTCATCCTGCAGACCAAAGGGTCTCGGGTTCCATTCCAGCCAACGGCACGTACCTCATTTGCAGGCTACCAATCAATGTCTCTCTCTCTCTCTCTCTTTTCCCCTCCTCCACTCTCTCTGAAAAGCAATGCAAAAAATAACCTAGGGTGAGGATTAAGAAAAAAAATTAAAGGTAAAAAAAAAAGTATATTTAAAAAAATCAAAACACTGTTACCTTCCCACCCCCATTACTTAGCTTTGGATTTTATTTATTGCCCCAGGTATCTGCGTTTATTCTTTTGATTTTGAAGACATCTATAAAACATTGAGTGGGCTTTGAATCTTAAAAAAACTGGTTATGAGTTATAAAGCCTTTCTCTACACCCTTACCTCCACATTCTCTGCAGAAAATATTCAGGAGTTGTTCTGTGGTAATTGACTATAGAGGATGTCATGGGTAATTCTTGGGAAGCTGTCTTGGCTAAGATAAGTTGTCTCAGTCTTAACTAGACCTTTGTGGGGGGAAAAGGCAATCTTAACAAAAGACCCCATTGTAAAGAAAAAACATTTAATAAATTTCCCTGTATGAAATAATAATTCTTATTTTTTAGCCTACCTTATATATTCCATACTTCATCTGGATTATTTGGAAACATTTTATATTTTGTTAGTCATTATTGGCTTGAGAGGATTCTTCATGTATCCTGAAATTTCCTGTGAAATAAACCTAAGTATTTTCTCATCTTAGAGTGATCAGGAGAAACGGGAACGTCTGGAAATCCAAAGGGAGAAGCAGAAGGAACTGATACTGCAGCTCAAAACCCAGCTAGATGACCTGGAAACATTTGCCTATCAAGAGGGCAATTACGATTCCCTGCCACAGTCCATGGTCTTGGAAAGACAGCGGGTAAGTAGATAACACCACTGCCTAAGGTTAGTTTGTTCCTTCCAGCGTTTATTGACTTTAGAGAGGAAGAGAGAGGGAGAGCAAGATAAAAACATCAATGATGAGAGAGTCATTGATCGGCAGCCTCCTGCACATCACCTGCTGGGGATCGAACCTGCAACCTGAGCATGAGCCCTGACCGGGAATCCAACCCAGATCTCCTGGATTATAGGTTGATACTCAACCGCTGAGCCATGCTGGCAGGGTGGGGGCCAGTCTTTATTCATACATGGAAACATGAGTTCCAAAGCTTCATATGATGATTGAGCTCTACCTTTTTATTGGTGGTTATGAATAGTAATAGTAATACAGAATA